AGTTTACTAATGTCCATTTATAACTGCTTTAAAGGACTCGTCCCTTCTTGGAAGAATTGCCTGAGACACAGGTCATCAAGCACACATTTTTTTCCTCTAGGACTTGGAGACTACACAAAAGAAACAAATCTTGATATGCAGAGGTCAGAGGTCTTCACTCAGAATTATAATAAGTATGAAGGGGGGAGGTGTGTGCTTGAAGCAGAAATTAGCAAGCATGTGGGAAAATATCCACCAGTTCCTCCTGTGACTAAAACAAGAGTTTTCTTTTTAACAAAAGTGTAAGAAGAAGTTCAAAATTACTTAGACATTTCATTTTTATCTTCTTTCCTGAAATTCTTTTGAAATTTAGAACTCTTTGGGAAAGTACTCTCATCAGTCTTTTTCTATAAATGTTCTCACTGACCATACTTGATAATGGAAACATTTCCAGGAGCCATAGACTTTAAATGAGCAATCCCTCTCCTTCCTATCCTCATCTCTTTTGTCTCTACTTCTTTCTCCCCTTCTCTCCATATCTCACCCTCTCATTCCTGTCCAAAGTGATAGAATTTGTTTTTAATATGATATAGAAATAGTGGAGAAATGTATAAATCTGATCCTATGCCATCTCCCCAACCAACTTAGACACCTCTTGATTTTTAGGCCTATTTCATGTATTATAAATGTTTCCCCAATTGTGATTGGGACACAGCTTGCATATTTTTATAGAATTATGTGGAATTGCTCTGGACCAAACAAGTATGTCAATATAATGGGACAAAGTATTTTCCTCAAACGCTGTCTGCAAAGCAAAGCACACAGAGCTTTTACTAATGCTATCACTCTCTTATTTCATATAAAGCATGTGCAATAAGGTGAAATACAAGTGAAAAACAAGTTCAAAAGAATAGCAATATATTATCAACGTCAAAGATTGTTGGAGTGGGAAGAACTCAAGAGGACACTCACTCACGGACTGATCTATCTGTTTGTCTAAAGGACCCAGGTTGGTTGAATAAAGATCATGACGGATAGTTTGCTAGTTTAGGGTGTGTAGATGCTGCTCCAAGTTCTAGTCTCCCAGCAGGTGAAATGGGTGGTTTAAGTTTTGGAGTGTAAAAATGAGCTCACCTTGAATTCTGAGCCAGGCTTTTCATCACCTCTCAAAAGCTGGGGACAGTGCTATTTTTCTCCAACAGACATGCCAAGCATTTGTAACACAGTACAACACTTTTATTTGCTTAGGAGTCCTTCCAATTTTAAATCACTTGTTAATTCACTTCTCAGAAAATCACCTGCACTGAAGTGAATGGGTTCTATGACTGTTAGAGGAATGTCTGGAGAAGCTCTCACCATCCCTGCTCACCCTCTGGGTGTGTGTCTGTGTCTGTCTGTCTATCTATCTAGTTCCAGATGAAAAATTGCTCCTTTTCCTATAGGGTCTACTCTCCCTTCCAATATATGTTGTCCCTACACTCCTTTATTCTCCCCAAATAACGTGCTACTCTGTCTACCCCTCTCTTCATCCTCCTCTTTCCCTCTTTTCTCTTTCCCCACTCCTTTCCTTTCTTCTCTTTACACTTCATTTCCACCAGTATGTTTGAATTTATGAAATAGTACGTTCAATGCTCAAGATATATAACTGTGTGCCCCGCTGCTCCACATAATAAATAGCTCAGTTTTTTTCTGGAGGCTTTGATTGTCACATCTGGAAAGAGGAAGCAATGTGTTTAGATGTATCTTAATCTTGATCATTTTGAAATGGCTGTTCTGTTCAGTTTGTTCCCTTGTAATTCACTGATGCTATTGTGATAGAGTTCAGATCACTTTCTTAGTCTCTTTAGGATACTTTATATAAGGGGTCTCTAATCCCTGGCTGCGGCCTGATACTGCGGCCTGTTATGAACTGGGATGTACAGCAGGAGGTGAGCCGCGGGAGAACTCCGTCTCCTGTCGGATCAGCAATGACCCGCTCCTAACTTTTTACTTATTTTTTATTTTTATGGTGAGTTGTATAATTATTTCTTTATATATTACAGCATAATACTAGAAATAAAGTGTCCAAAATAAACATTATGTGCTCAAATTATCGCCATCTCCCATCACGTCCGTGGAAAAATTGTCTTCCATGAAACCGGACCCTGATTAAAAAAAAAAAAAAATCGCTGCTCTAAAGCACACGATGCTGTTTTTCACCTTCTTTCTCATGAGACTCTCCTTATTTTCTGACCTCTATAAACACATCTATCTGATTATCTTCTCTTTTATGATCCCTTCCATATCTTTCTGTTTTTAAAATCAACCTCATTTTCTTCCTCTTAACACAAAAATTTTGCCAAGGTTTTGGTGGAGTTTTTGTAGGTCAGCCATATGTTATAAAACTTTACCCACATGATGCGGAAAGTGGAACTTGTTCTTGGAAAATAACTGAATCTTATACAAAAAATTAAGCTAACATCTGTCACTATGAATAGTTAGGACTTTCTTTTCTTTTGGTCAATGATGACTGCAACTCTAGACTTATTTACAAAGCACAGCTTCTGGTGTGAGGTGTATGTGTGTGTGTCCATGTGTGAGTGCATGTGCATGTGTGTGTACGTGTGAGTTTGCATGCATGTGAGTGTGCACACATGCATGCATGTGCATATTTGTGTGTGCGCATGTGTACATGCATATGTGAGTTTGTTCATATGTGTATGTGTGTGTGTGTGCATGTGTGTGCATATGTGTATATAGAGTTGACTGTAGCCCTTCATGTCCCTGTTGGTTCTTTTATCATCAGTCTCTCATCTTTTAACCTCCTAACACCACATTATATTTTTAGTTTACTTTCTTGTTCCCTTTGGTCCATTCCCTTTTGTTACCCTCCTCTGGTTTTAATTAAAAATGGCATAAATGTAATGCCAATTTTTAAATTAGTTGCTATTTTCTGCCCTCTATTCAACTTTTTTGCTATAAATTCATTATCATTAAAAACAAATATGAAATCAGAGTATTAAAAAATAAAGTCCTAGCCGGGCTCGGTGGCTCAGCCTGTAATCCCAGCACTTTGGAAGGCTGAGGTGAGTGGATTTCCCGAGCCTGCGGGTTCGAGACCCGCCTGGGCAACTTGGTGAGATCTCATCTCTACAATAAAATCAAAAATTAGCTGGGCATGGTAGTGTGCACCTGTAGTTCCAGCTACTCGGAAGGCTGAGGCGGAAGGATCGCCGGAGCCCAGCAGGTTGAGGCTGCGGTGGCTGGGAGCGGCCACTGCACTCCAGTCTGGGTGACAGAGTGAGACTCCAACTCAAAAAAATAAAATAAAATAAAAATAAAGTCTTATTTCTGTAGGTGGTCTCGATAGAGGTCTTGTCTAAAGTTTCTATGGTAGTGAAACTTTCATATTGGCTGTTAAATATTTTAAGTTATTTGATTTTTATATGCACATATTTTTAACATTAAAATATTACTATTTTCTTACACACTATTTAGAACTAAGTGGCTTCAGATCATTTTTTTAATAAGATGAAAATAGAAAATGTTAGCTTTTTTTTCTGGTTTTGTGAATGCAATCTATGCCAAATAGAATAATAATATTGAAATAGGAGGATTTCATGTTGAAAATGTTAATTTTATTTCATTGTAAATCCAGTAAGAATGGCTTTCAAATATTAATATAAATGTTTGTTTTATTAATAAAAATTATTTCTAGATTGTGAGAGGAAAACTGCACTGATCAGATCACACATATATATCTTAGTTTCCATGTCTTTGAATTACAGTAAGACATAACATGGAACTTGTCAAAAGTTGAGAAACCTTTTCCTTGAAGGGTGCAAAATCACATAAAAACTGATGGAAAAGCTGGGCTCGGTGGCTCAGCCTGTAATCCCGCACCTTTGGGAGGCTGAGGTGAGTGAATTGCCTGAGCCCGCGGGTTCGAGACCCGCCTGGGCAGCGAGACCTCATCTCTACAATAAATAAAAAAATCAGCTGGGCGTGGTAGCGCATGCCTGTAATTCCGGCTACTCGGAAGGCTGAGGCGGAAGGATCACCGGAGCCCAGCAGGTCGAGGCTGCGGTGGCCGGGAGCGACCACTACACTCCAGTCTGGGCGACAGAGTGAGACTCCAACTCAAAAAACAAACAAACAAAACAAAACTGATGGAAAGACAGCCTATTTTACCAGGTGGAGATGAAAAACATAACAGTAGGGGCAGAGGACTCTCTGTCACAAGAAGAATGAATAAATATTGTTCTTGTTTCAGTTGTATAAACACTATGTTAGACCTGTAGTATTCTCATAACTAAGACACTAAACTTTCGTGACTCGCCTGGGCAGTGAGACCTCATATCTACAATAAATCAAAAAATCAGCCGGACGTGGTAGTGCATGCCTGTGATTCCAGCTACTTGGAAGGCTGAGGCGGAAGGATTGCCGGAGCCCAGCAGGTAGAGGCTGCGGTGGCCGGGAGCGGCCACTGCACTCTAATCTGGGCGACAGAGTGAGACACCAACTCAAAAAAAAAAAAAAAAAAAAAAAGGAAGAATAACCTTAATGTTCTCTAGTGGAAAAGGGATAATAAATTAAAGCATTACATATATTGAATGTTTTAAATACTGCAGTGTACAGTATGCAGAAGTTTCATCTATTACTTCTAATCCACAACATTGTATCAACTAAGATATTCATAATAAAAAGGTATACTCTATTGCAATTATAATTATATAACAAATCCTGCAAGTTCCGATAAAAGGAAACTACTCAATAATTGTTTTAAGTAACGAGGGAGAGAAGTTATTTTCCTTTTTCATAACAAATTCAAGTCCAGGCTGTTTAAACTGTAATACCTATAGTTGTTTTATACTTGAGTCAATGAGAAATATTGACATATTAGTATTTTTAAACATTCTGTCAAACCCATGATGCTAAACTACACATACATAAAAAAATGAAGAAGCAAATTATGTTTTGTTGTTATATTAATATGACATTTCTTTTTTCTTAGTTCAATAGGTGCCTTATAATTTTAACATATGATGAATCAGACTCCAATGGTGGAATTCTTGCTCATGAGATTCACTGAGAATTGGGTGCCGTTGAGTCTGCATGCTGTGCTCTTCTCCCTGATCTACCTGGTAGCCATGTTGGAGAATTTAATTATGGTCCTCCTCACAATTCTTGACCGACACCTCCATACCCCTATGTACTTTTTCCTCAGGCATTTGTCCTTCTTGGATCTGTGTCTCATTTCTGCCACAGTCCCCAAATCCATCCTCAACTCCATCACCCTCACCAACTCCATCTCTTTCATGGGGTGTGTGTTGCAGCTCTTTCTCGTGGTGCTGTTGGCTGGGTCAGAGATTAGCATCCTCACTGCCATGTCCTGTGACCGCTATGTTGCCATCTGCCGCCCTCTGCACTATGAGGCTATCATGAGCAGAAGGTCCTGTGTTCAGTTGCTGGCTGTGTCTTGGCTCAGCGGTGGGATCTTGGGAATCTTGTACTCAGCTGGGACATTCTCTCTGAATTTCTGTGGCTCCAATATGATACATCAGTTCTTCTGTGATGTACCTGCCCTACTAAAGCTCACTTGTTCTAAAGAACATACCACCATTAGTGTCAGCGTGGCCATTGGGGTCTGTTATGCATTTTCATGTCTACTTTGCATTATAGTCTCCTATGTGTATATTTTCTCCGCTGTGTTAAGACTCACATCCAGGCAGAGCCAATCCAAAGCCTTTTCCACCTGCGTGCCTCACCTCATTGTTGTGAGCGCATTTCTTGTAACAGGTGCTGTTGCTTATTTAAAGCCAGTCTCTGATGTGCCTTCTATTCTAGACTTGCTGGTGTCTGTGTTCTATTCTATTGTACCCCCTACCTTGAACCCTGTTATTTACTGTCTGAGGAACAAGGACATTAAATTGGCTCTAGGTAAAGTCCTGTGGAATGTTAGAAGTGGAGTAATGAAAAGATGACTCAAGTTGAAGCTGAGAAGTAAGATTTCATTTTTGTTCTTCCACTAATTAGCTGCTTAAACATATTTCTGTTTAAGGATTACTACATTATGAAGTCTTGTTAGTGATAATGTCAGGTAGTTAGTTTTAATAGACAGCAAGTCTTTTCCAGCATTCTTTTACTTTACATCTCTTAGAGAGATTAGGATGGTTCTTCTAGTACACTTTTGATGATTTGTACTCTTATTCTAAATCTCCATGTGCATGAGATTTGAATGAGGCTTTCATTCTTCAACAAGCTTTCATTTCTCGTGACAGTCTCTTTATTGAGATAATTCTGGATATTGCATTGTAACACCTAAGTTCTGTTGATTCAACTTGTATTATAGCTTCTGATTTTTACTATTTGGTGAAAACTTTAATTTTAGGTTAAAATTGTGATTTTAACTTAATTTTTCAGTTTTAAAAGAGTACTCAATTTTATCATGTTTCACTTATTTGACTAACATATGCTTGATAGATTTTATACAATTTCTAATACATTTAAGAAGATGATTCTCTTACATTCAAGAGTGTTTTGATATGTTACATTTTTGAACTCAGATATTTTCCTGTTTATTATCATTTATTTTATTTTATTTTTAAAGAGACATTGTCTCACTCTGTCACCCAGGTTGAAGTGCAGTGGCATGATCATAGCTCACCACAGCCTCGAACTCGTGGGCTCAAGAGATCCTCCTGTTTCATTCTCCTGTGTAGCTGGGATCACAGACCTGCACCATCAAGCCCTACTTTTCTCTTTATTAAAACTTCCTTTTATCTAACATGATTACTGATACTGTGATAATTTGTGGTGTATTGGAATTTATCTAAGTAACATCAGTCATTGCTTCCAACATTGTAATAAATCTTACACTTTTTGGATGATCAGTATCATATAACATCCCTAACTCTAAATACATAAAATTATTGTCTACTTCTAACTGCAGTAAACAGTCCTGTCACCCTTATTGGTCTGCTCACTGCTTCTTTCATAAAGGTGGAGATTAACATTTGCTGACCTTCTTCGCTGTGTCTTACTCTTGCACACCCGGCACCTCAGTTAGTCCTTCCAGCAGATATGAGGTAGCAGCAGCACGACTGGGCATGAAGGACAATGGAGACTGAGGGAAGGTGAATAGTTTGCTCTAGTTCTATAGCTCATAACACAGGAATGTCATAAAATTTATTTCTTACCTTTGGCAAAACTGTTAAACTCTGTGTGCTCCCCAAAGTATCTTTGAAACTTTGCTCATATTAACTACCTCATGAAATTTTCCATTTGTCCAAATTCTATCCAGATTTTGACATCTAGCTCAGATCTTCAGAGTTTGGATGCACAAAATTATGAAAGTGCTTGATTACACATTTTCCAATCTCTAAACTTTTGTATGCAACCGAATGAACATAATTTAAATATCCCTTTTAGGGAAACTTGTATGTAAATTTTATGGAAAACAACTTACATATCTCTTTTAAGTTGATTTAACGCAGAAATGGAAAACTACATACAGAAAGTCTCTGGTTTGTCTTCACTGCACAATTCACAGTTCTGAGCACCTAATCATTTTGTCTTTACTTCCCCTTTATCACATCTTAATCCTGAGTCATTTTATTTCAAAAGCATCATAAATTTAATTGTGTCTTTTTCAGGAAAAATAAACAGTGCATTAAGTGTACAAATCAATTTTCAGTTCAGTTCCTGTTATAGAAGCATTAACTTGAAATATGAAAAAAGTATATGTGAGAGTTGAGAGCACTGAAAAATGACTAAATTTTTAGGGAGAAACCATAAAGTGTGAGTGACAAATCATTCAAACATTTACGTATAATGCACATGTAGATACAAGCAAAGTTTCAAATGGAAAAAATGGGTAAGAAGTAGTAAAAGGAGATAAATTTTTATGAGTTAAATTCAGAGTAAAGAGAGTTGTAACTAGCCTTAGATCTTCTGGCCATGTAGGTTATGGTCAGAGTACTTTGCTGGCGTTGTCTCTGACAGCGGTGCGATGGAACTCACTTCTCCATTCCATTTCTCTGACTACTCTTTGGGACTTTCATTTTTTAACAACTGCGTGTGTTAGGTAGGGATGCGATACAACTGCTGAGAACCCTGCGAGCATATGTGTCACTTCTGTGACATCCTCCTCTTGTTTTCCAAAATGTTACCTTTACAAGGGTGATATAGATGAAAATAAATGGAAAAAGTTCTTCTACATCAGTTCAAAGGCACTCTGAGCATGAGGAAAAAATTGCTTTTCTCATGTATCAAAATAAAACTGTGTTGCACTTTTGGAAAACTTCTCTATAGTGCTTTATTGTGAGTTATTGAAAGAGTCTGAATTTAATGTGGTGTAAAATAGAATTCTTTATTGTTTTATTTCAAACACTGTCTTTAACCATGTAATGTTCAATCTGCTATTCTTATGCCTTGATATTGAATATATGTGGAGATTATACACACACACACTCTGGAATTAAGACTGTGTTTACCATTTTATAATCTTAGCTGAGATATTGAAATGTTTATTTAAAAGGCCCCATCAGTAGATAATTAAATAAAATATCCAACTTACTAGTCAACTACTTGTTCAAGAAAAGTGATCTTCTATTGATTATAAGTTATATTCCAGAGAATGACCAATTAATATGATAATAACTATGTATAATAAAATCCAGAAATAGGTTGTCTACTGCATGAAAACAGAAAACAAAGGCTTTCTGTGACTTACAAATCTTTAAATTTTTTTGTCTTCTTTTTCAAGTTGCATTTGGTATATGACATGTGTGGTGATATATTTGTTTTAAAAATACAAAATTTTTACAACCTCAATGAATGACTAATTACATGTACATATGCATACATGTGTGTATGCATTAATAGTCTACAATTTTACTTGTGCAATCTTGCACAATTGAATATTGAAAAGATAAGATTTAAAAATTCCCACAAATAATTATCTCTAAAATTTTATTACTCGGTTTTGCTTTAATTGTTTCATCATCATCTTTATTATCCTAATTTTCTTCATCAACCAGTTTTATAAAATGCTTATTGTGTAGCACACAATAAGCATTTTATAGGACTTTATGTTCTACCTGTTTTATATATTCATATTGATTCCTCATATCAATAGTTTCAAGAAAAAGATCAGCATTTAAAAGTGCATTTAAAATTTTTAGGAATGTTTAGAAATTTGATGAAGCTCAATGAACACCAAAGTGGCTCTTTATAGAATGAACCCAACATCACAGTGGGAATTTTTCACCATGGTGATGTATCTGCACTTTCAGAGAGAAGCATGTCTTCTGATGTAAGAGTCTGAGTTTAAACCGTACAACAAGTGCTTGTGAACTCAAGCATTGTTGATGACATTAAGGTGAAATGACAAATGTTGGGGAATAGCCAACAGCTCTGTTTTGGTTTCATTCTATTATTGGTGTTACAGGGGAATTGATACAAAAATGGGTAACTGATGAATTGAATAAAACCATTTTAGGACATAGATGGTGAAAACTGCACTGGTAAATTTGTTAATTTTTCAAACTGCTCTTTTATTCATTGTCAAATTAGTGTTTCAAATCTCAAAAAATGTGTGCAATTTTCCAGGCTGAACTCAACCCAAAACATGTAGTGAATAATTCTCCTCTTCCTCCTCCTCTCCTCTTCTTCTTCCTCCTCTTCCTCCTTCTGAATCTTGTCCCTACTTCACGAAACTGCATAAAATATTCTGAAATGACTGAACATTTTTCTTTGTGATCTACATGGTATATACCAAATAAAATACTTCTGGAGTTCAGGTCTGACATCTCGATGACCTTAGTATAAAAGCCCTATGCTTGTTCTCGTGGTTTTCAAGCTATTGCCACTTACTCATAGAGACAGAATCTATTTACCATCTCTTTTTCTGGGATGGTTTTTAAATAGAGCATCTGTGGTATTTTATTTGCCAAGAACATTACTTGGTTTAATTATAAATTATGTGTTTTCTAACAAGTTGCATTTTGTCCTCTGGCCACTTTTAGTATATATGGATTCAAGCTTGTAAGCTACTAATTCTTTCTCTGACATGTCACCATATTTGTTCAACTAAAAATAAAATACAATTAAGGTCACTGTGTTTGGGGAAATTGATGTCACCTTTAACTAACTATTTAAATTTTCCAAATGTGTTTTTTTTTGTTTTAAACAGAAGATTTTATTTGGTATAGTAATTTATCAGATATTTTGGCAATGCAACACTAAACTACCTTACTTTGGTAGATAGATTAACTTATTAATACATTATAATTCAAAAGACTTTTTAATGTTACTAGGGAAGCATGTAGAGAAATATATGAGTCAAAATGTGTTAGTAAATCATAATTATTACTACTCATTAGAATTACTCATTCCAGGCTCTACTCTTTAAGCATTGCATTCTTATAATTTTCAGTTTTCTTAGATATATAGAAGTAACCCACATTCCATTATCTTCAAAATTAGATAGTATGGAATTGATCTACAATTATTGGGAGATCCAGCATTCTGGAAAACCCCAGGGAATCCTGGATTAATCATTTCATACTGGTGCTGTCAATTTTGGCTCTGGTCCTTGGATGTTTGTCAAAATAGAATAAATTTCCCAGGACTTCAATAGCTAGTGCCCAAATTTCTTGTAATATAGTGAGAAAGGAGAGTCAATACAGCCTCAAAGCATATTGATACTATTAGGGGGAAACAGATTATACAACAATATCAAATCTAGAATTACTTTCTCAGAATAGGGAAATGACATTTGGGAAGCAGATAGAAAAGTGATTATTTGTTATTTTAAGGCACATATGCTCATTGAGAACCTTCTATATTTAAGATATTTCTAAGTAAGTGGACTCATCTGTCTAAGATGCTGTCAATGAAAGACTATACTCAGTCAGGCTCGGTGGCTCAGCCTGTAATCCCAGCGCTTTGGGAGGCTGAGGTGAGTGGATTGCCTGAGCTG